GCAGACCGCGCGGACGACCGCGTCCTCCGCCGTCGGAGCGGCCGGCGGCCCGACGGCGCGGGCCTCTGCCCCGCCGAGGAGTCGTGTCCGCGCCAGCGCTCGCGCTGTCAGGCCCGAGGGGTCTGCCAAACGGTTAGCGTGAAGCAGGAGTACGTTATCCCACAGACTGCGGTCCTGGAAAGAACATAGTCGAGGCAACTCCATCCGATTCTGAATCCTGTATTTCCAGTCTTCACCTTTCTCTTTTACTCGTTTCGCTGTTACCGTTGAGCGCCCCTGGGGTGCCGGCGCTCCGCTGGGGGCCGTGGGGCGGCACGGGGGAACAGGGCGGTCCCTGCCTTCCCGGGCTCCCGGGCGGGCGGCCCCTGGGCTAGTGAGGAACTCGGGACCTGCTCGGGACTGAGAGAGGAGCTGGGGTAGGTCCGGGGCGCAGTACGAGGAATGCCTCACACGGCCCTTGGGCCTAGAATGTCAGAGAAGTTTTCAGAGCAGCTGAAGCTCGGTTTGTTGCAGGTGGCTGGGGGAAGACGGCAAGAAAGGAGAGGAGGAGGTGCAAAGGGAAAAGAACACTTGTGTAAGGTAGCTGGAGTTGGGGCAACAGTAGTGGGGAAATGAAACAGGAGAGGTGGACATGCATCAAATTTTGAATGTTTTATAACTCGTCTTTTTGAATATTTGAAAGATCATTCTGACAGCAATATGGAGGGTGGATTTTGGAGGGGAGTGGAAGATATGCCAATATTAAACAGGCTACAAGAAAGCTTTCTTGGAGGTGTTTGCAATAACTTTAGTAAGAAATGATGTCTGAGATAGGTAATGAAGAAGGGATAGATCTGAGAGATGTTGCTGAAGTGAAATCAACAGGATTTAATGACAGATTGGATGGAAGGGGTGAATGAGAAGAGAATCTAGGTGAAGAAGTGAATAGGTGGTGGTGACAAAGTAAGGAATACAAGAGGCAGAACAGGTTTGGGGAGGAAAACGAGGAGCTCAGATTGGGACTTGTAAATATGAGATTATAATAGGATATTTAAGTTGAGGTGTCCAAACAGCTATTTCATATATACACACAGAAAATATATACCCATACATATATAACATACATACACATATATCTCATAGGCATATTATAGGTAAATTGGAACATTAGGAAAGGGATGCTGATTAAGAAAACTTACACATTCCAGAAAGAAGTATTTAGAAAGAGAACTCAAAAGGCAAGTAACCTCCAAAGGAGGCTGTGTAAAGGCAAAGAAAGCTTGTCTAGAATGGGATAACTGAAGACGGATGCCTCTCTGAAAAGGGATCATCTAAGCTAGGCCTGAAGGCTGATGCAGAATAGTAAAAAAGCGTTTAGGTAAAGGGAATTGTAGGTATTAATGCCCTTGGGTGAGAAAAAACAAAGTTTGGCATATTTCAGAAACTGAAGTAAGACCAGTATGGCTGGGCTACAGAAAGCAAGAAGAGAACATTAAAGATGACTTTGGAGAGGTGGGAAAAGCTGAAATCCTACAGTATTTTGTGGGCTCTAGTAAGGAGGTTTTCTTCTTCAGGAATATATTTAACAATGTAACATAAACAATTATATATACATCATACAATAAAATTATTTTGTATCTATTACTAAATGAAATCAATAGAAATTATTATGACAAAAAAAGTGAGTTGGAAGAAAATTTTTTTCAGATCAAACCAAAATCAGTAATCTGAGAGGAAGAGATAAATTTTAAGTAGAAGTGATATACTCCTAAATTTTTTGATAATGAATTGATGAAGAAGAGTGAAACATATAAACACACTGAAATTTTTTAAAAAATTTTGTTAACTTGGCAAGAAATAAATTGGCATCTACAAGAATAATCTAGAACTCAATACATCTCTACAACCGGAGCTTGACAACAGGTTAACGAGCAATTTAAAGAGCATTTAAGGTTAATGACACTGCCCAAGAAAACTTGAAATGCCCTAAAATCATAGAACTCACATAAGAAATTCAAGACAGATTTCCCCAAATTTAACAATACTGAAAGCTGACTTGTTATTACCAATCGAGTTGTGACTGAAATTACTTTTTTAAACTTTCAATAATAAAAAACAGGGGCCCGTCCCATGGCCTAGTGGTTAAGTTCAGTGCACTCTGCTTCGGCGGCCTGGGTTCAGTTCCCCGGGCACGGACCTACACCTCTCGTCAGCGGCCGTGCTGTGGTGGTGACCCACATACAAAATAGAGGCAGATTGCCATAGGTGTTAGCTCAGGGCTAATCTTCCTCAAGCAAAAAGAGGAAGATTGGCAACAGATGTTAGCTCAGGGCAAATCTTCCTCAGCAAATAAATAAATAAATAATAAATTTTGATTAACTGTGCTAGAGAAAATACCAAATTATTGATTCTCACAAAAAGCATTACAAAATTATTGTCAAATAAAGAGGTAATCAATATAAAACTAAAAATATAGGGGTGGTTCAGGTAGTTAAAAATATTATTTTTATGGATTTTTTGATGTTTGTGGTATTTGTCAGCTTTTTTAAATTTGTAATTTGTTGTCGTTGCTTTGCTTTTCTCATTCTAAGTAAATATTTACTTTGGTTCAAAAAAAGTTTGGAGAATGGATTGAGGAAAAGCAAGAGTGGAAACAGGAATCCCAGTTAGAAGGATAATTCATAGTTAAATGTGTCTTATTACTTATAAGTAGAGGTTTTATTTATAATTATATTTTCATATCTTATTTAACTTTACCTCCACAGTACCTTCCATTGAGTGAATAAAACCCTGTATAAGCACAAGTAACACACACAGACTGGTTACCTGCTCTCACGGACATACTGTGTAGTGAGGGTGCAGATACACAGACAATTCCAATTCAGTAATCTAATTGTTAAGATAAAAGCACTCACAGTGTGCCTGTGTGCCTAGGTGGTGCTACTGAAAGCCTGGGGAGTTGGGAAAAGCTGAAGGGGTAGCATTATCTAGTATTTAGCACATAATCTCCTTACCAACCTCCTGCCAGCAGTCTGCCTCTGAGTCACTTATCCCACAAACATTTACAAAGCATTTTGTGGAGGACACGCATACACACATATACAGAGATAATGATTATAGCAATGCATTAAAAGCTATAATAGAGACTTGGTTCCATTCAGCTTAGCTCAGCAAAAAAAAGTTTTGAAGGTCTTTGCCTATTATGTGCCAGGCACTGAGGATACAAGACAAACTGAAATAAGACTAGTATGACTGAGGCACAATTAGCAAGAAGAGAATGACAGTCTACAAGTACCTATAAACTAGTAAGTAAAATAGAGGGTACTATATGTATTAGAAGTGTTTACATGGAATAGAAGTGGTACAAGGAAAGAAAGAATTCTGTCTGGGGATGGGAGGGAGTAGAGGAGAGATCATGGAAGGGTTCAGGGATCAGGAGGTAATGCCTGAGCAGAATTTTCAAGGATAAAAAGTTTACCAAATTAGACAGTGATAGTCCTTACAGGTGGAAGGACATGTCCAAAGACATATAGAAAAGAACCAGCCGTCAATACCAAAAAATACCAGTAATTCAGTACTGCAGAAACACAAATACAAGGCGCTGCTGGGGTAGCAGTTCAGTATTAGGCTAAAAAAGGATGAAGGATCTTTTATCTCCTTTATAACAGTCTAGAGAGATGGTGAAGGACTTTAGGTAGGGTATGTAAGATCATATATGTGCATTTGGAAAAGAATCACTTAAGTGACAATGTGGAAAATGGATTGAGGAGAGGGACAGGCAGCAAGCAAAACAAGAACAGAAGCAGAAGGCCCAGTCCATAGGCTTTTACGGTACCCCAGGCAAAGTTGATGAGAGCCACAAAGGTAGATAGGGACCATGAAGAGAGAGTGCACATAGAGAGAAAAAGGCAGAACTGATGGACTGTAGAGGATGTGAGAATAAGAAGTGAAAATGGTGATGCTAGTTATTGACTTGGGCAGCCAGATGAATTTCAGAAATAATGAAAAGATATCATGAGTTCCCTGAGGAGGAATGAGGGAATGGGATGGATCTAGAATGTAGGTAGAGGGAAGGGACAAAGGTAAGAATAGGTGAAAAAAGAAATCATCCACTTAAGAGGAAGGGGGTCTACTGTGGAAAGTGTGGTAAGGGGCTTTAGGACTTGGAAGTTTTCAAATAGTATCTGTGAGAAATTTGCAGAGAGAGCTGAAGACAGGTATGCAATGTTGAGGAGCAGTTGAAGGTGAAGATCAAAAATTAGTAGTGGCATTAATCTGTGTGGTTATGGGATTCACTGGTAAATATAGAAGGAGATGATAGATTGGAAGAATAATCAAGAAACGAAGTGTTGAAGGTGATATCCAGGAATAGTGGTACAAAGAGAGTGAGGATTTTCTAAGGATAAGAGGAGATATACATTCAGAGAGTGGATATCTGAGTGTAAGAGTTCAGAGATGGAGTGGTTCTAAGTTTGAGTGCCCAGCGTTCACCTACAGAGGTGAGTAGCAGAAGTGGAATAGAGATAAAGGTCATTGGACTTGAGGGAATCAAAGAGCTGAGTCCAGACCAGAGTATTAGGCCATTCACGTTGACATTTAAATCAATGGAATGTGATAAGAATGAAAACACCCACAGGTACTGAAGTCTGCACTGATTACGGGGAAGTAAAAGGAGACCTGTGGTTGGCAGATGGCAGGTAGAGAGGAACCTTTAAAGGAAGGAGTAAGGCAGGTGTGTAGGAAGAGGCCAGGAAAAAATAAGGCATTACCTAAGCTAAGAAATTCTCTACAAATCTTAGCTACTCTTGCTAAAGGCTTAATAACTAATAAAAATTTAATGCATTTTCTCCAAGATTATTTATATGTCTAACATCTTAAGCCAAAGGTATATATCATGTAGAAATATCAGACAATGTGGCAAGGTTTTTCAGAAAAAATTTTTTGAACACTGGGAACTTTCAGTAGCTCTATATCCAACCATTAGTACCTACACATATGCATAAGCCACTCAGGGTATTTGAAAAATTCAGTGAGAGAAATGTGTGTGATCACTTCCTATTTAGCAAGTTACCTTAAGTGAGTTTTAGTTACACTGACAAAACTGAAGACTACCTCTATGGTAGATCAAAGACTCGCACCTGTTTAATTACAAACTAGACTCACTTCTTAGATCTTTAGCCTTATCGGATACCTTACTCCATGGGGCAGTCCCAAAAGAATACAGGCTTTTTATTTTTCTGCTTTTCACATAGTACTCCACCTCAAGTCAAACACATGTACCTTTACCAAAACATAAAGAACCTTAGTATTTATTTAAATTTGTAACTGAGCATGTAATATGGATAAAAAATTCAAATCCATTACAAATCTTTTTTAGCATTTTTTGCTATTTAATAACCATTTTAATAAATATTGCTATTATAAGTTATATTAAGACTCATTATATGTCAATTTCCTCATATTTAATATGTAATATTCCTACTCAGTCTTATGATTTCATGTTAATTACAAAAAAGAACATAAATACATGTAATAATATTTTGTTAATATAAGATGCTCTAAAATTAATAAAGTGGGATATAATATCAAATTCATAAAAATATTTTTTAAACTAGAGTATTCTATTCTTTGTGAAATGAATGCTTGGGGCAAACATTTTGTTAATTTCCTTTCCACAGATGAGTTACAGACAATGAACAGCAGGGGGCACAAAAATTCAAAAGTTATTCTCTACAAAGCAGAGCACAATGAAATCCCATGCTGTAGTGGAAAGCAGATAAATTTTGGAGGCAGACAAACTGATTCCAACTGGCTCTATCACATATAGGCTGAGTGACCTTTATCTAATTATTTAACCTCTCTGAAGTTCTTCAATGGTAGAATCATGCTAAGTATGACGTAGAAATTAAATATTAACATATGCAAGGCTGCTCAATAAGCACTAGGGTTTCTTCTTCAGGGCTTGTTACATATATGTGTACGTGTGCACCAAAAACACATAGAATAAATGCAAATTTAGATTTTATAGTAATTTGTGCAGACCATGAACATGGAAATGGCTGTAGAGGTTCATGATAGCATACGAGCACACACATAGCTAGATCAAAACTAAAGAAAAGAAATGGTGGTATTGACTCAAAAACAAAGCTTTCTCTATAAGAGAAAATGTGAATGCACAGAAAGTGGACGTAAACACGTGTGTATACTTTCAGCGTGGTGTAGTGTAGAGTTTCTCAGAGTGTGATCCAGGAGAAACCTACATCAAAATCATCTGGGAGTGCTTGCTTCGAATGCAGATGCCTGTCCTACTCAAAATCTACTTTTTCAGATCTATGGGAGTGGCACTTAAACTTCTTCTGGTAAAAGAGAAACAAGAATACTTGCTGCCTAGGGTCTAGGGTTCCTGTGAATATTAAACATCATGTGTTGTGAGGCTAGTACTATACCTGACAGATACCATTATCAGGATCTTTTCTTCTAAAAATCACATATGTATACTCACAAATGACTTGCTCAAGAATACCTGACCATGGTTCCATTTTTCCCCTATTTTTTAAGAAGAACTAAGCCATTTTTTACTATTTTGGACAGCAGGGGACAAACAAATCCTTCCTTTTCTGATTAGTAGATATGGTATATTCTTTCAAATGACATTTTCCCAGCATGTCTGTGCTCCACATCTGTACTAGGCACTAGAAGGCAAGCTCTACTTTCAATAAAACTGAGTAAAAAGTCTCATAAATTTGGATTTAATTAATTAAAAATTGAGGGTAATTCATATAGGATTAAGCTTAAATATATAATTTGTGAACTTTAAAACTTAAAGTTTTATCAATGAAATTCACTGGTTTGGGTTTTAATAAATTTATTTTAAAACTCTTCAAGAATCTAAATGAAAATGTAACAGATATTGATGTACTCATCACATAACATTCTTACCTATTGATCAAAAGCAAAACTTAAACTTTCCAACTGTTAATGTAGTACAGAAATTTTTAAAGTCATTTATCTTCCATCACCTAGATAACCACACTTAACACTTTAGTGTTCAATTTTCCTTAGTTTTTTCAACACATACACATAAAATCATTTTTTTCAAGAAGTGGATCATACTCTACATATTGATTTGTAATCTGATTTTGTCACACAATATTTTGTGAACCATTTCCAATTCAATAGATGAGAAATTTCATCATATTTTTAAGATTGCCTATTATTTTATACTATGAGTACACCATCATTTATTTCACCTGTCCTAAATTATTGAATTTTTGAACTTTTTCTTGTTTTTAGTTCCTATTATAAACATAAATATGATAAACATTATTGCACATTCATATTTGTTCTTTTATCCACACCTTTAGGAGAAATTCCTAGAGACAGAATTACTAGGTCAAAGAATATGTGTGTGTGTGTGTAGTTTCTCATATCCTCAACATTACAGGGATATAATCACTCTTTTTCATTCTTTGTTAATATGGTAGGTAAAAAATAATATCTCTTTGTTTTAACTTACATTCTTTGCTTATTAGCGAATTGAAAAGCAAGTTAATTTTTCTTACTTATTGTATTTTGTCTTTTGTGAATTGCTTTTTCATACCGTTAGTCCCTTTCCATATTAAAAAGATTAACTTCTTCTGTTTTGAATTTTGAAAATATCTGTCTTCACCAATTTATCTTTTGGTTTTGCTTATGATTTTTGTCAAACAGGTTTTTTTTTTTTCTTTTAATCATACAATCTATCAATCCTTTCCTATATGATTTCTGCTTTTGGGTTTTACTTGGAAAGTTTTTCCTTAACGTACAATTATATAAATATTCATCTATACATTCTGTACCAAAATATAAAGTCCGACCCAAGGGCATATAAGAATTTAACATACCAATTAATTCAATCATTTATTCATTCATGCAACAAATATCCATTGAGCACATATGCACTAGGCACAGTTCTAAATGCTGGAGATAAAAAAGCAGTGAGCAAGACCACCAAGATTCCTGCTGTCACGAAGTTATATTCCAAAAGAAATATAATCATGCAGCATATAATTTAATGTGGAATTTCAAATTAATGGGAAAAGAATGGATTATTAAATATACAATCCTGTTACAACTAGTTAACCATTAAGAAAAGAAATAAATTAGATTCTTATTTCGTACTTTATGTCAAGTATATTACAAATGGATTTAAAATCTATATTTTATAAATGAAGCCATAAAAATACTAGAAAAAAAACGTGACTGTTATATAAAGGAACATTACATATGTTCTTAAACATGAAAACTATTAAGTACGATCTCAAGGCAATTTTGGAAATGACATTTATAAAAAATGGAACAAAACAGGTAATTTTTGAACAATAATCTTTATTAGTGTATTTTCAAAGGTACATATAATCCTGAGCTACTGCATTTATACATTTATCATTTGCTCTTTGAAGTTTACATGTATTTTGCTCCAAACTCTCTGATGAGTACGGTTTTATACTAATCAGGAACATAAGTAATTAAAATATTATTCTTATCCCTGGAATAGCCAATTAATTTACTCAGATCATCTCATTATCTAATTCTACTACATTAAAGCTTTAGAACATTACTTCTTAATTAAGCTATTTCTTTTTCAAAACTGCAAAGATGGGCAGTGTGACAGCTGATTCCTTAAATCCTAGTGAATTCTTAGAAAACTATGTTGCTTTTTGTCTTCGATCTATTTTCTTGAATAAATTGGGTAATTATCTGAGCAGCTATATTTGAGAAGAATGGTAAAAGTAACTACCTCTAATTTCAACATTTTGGCTAGTGTAAATGTCATAGGCTCCTTTCACATATAAGTAGTCCATAATTATCCCATTAAGAAAAATCTACCATGATCTAATGAAAAGGATGGCAATGTAAATATACCTTTGTTTAAATGGTTAAGTATTATAAAACATGTTATGTGAAATGCTTCCTCCAGGCTCGATAAAGGAATACATACAGTGATTAACATTAAATTTCATAAATCTAGACCAGTACTTTTATAATTGTTAAATTAAAAAACAGACAAAAATGAAAGACAAAAGTCTTGCGATCTTTGAGAAAAAACATTTATCCAACATTATCTCCAACTGTGGACAAATAAATATTTTCATTCTTGTATTTTAAATTACTACCAAAATATTGTATCTTTCTACAAACAACAAAAAACAAGCATACAGTATCTAGAAATGGTTTTTATCTGACAAGAATGTCAAGTCTTTGAAGGTACACTCAATTTTTTTTCCTGAATAAGGTCATTATGATCTTAGGTTAAAGTTACAGTAAGCAGTTCAAGCAAAATGCATATTGCTGAGATTTTAAAGCAAGCAATTTTGATAATGTTTAATTAAAAATGTGAGTATAAATGTGAAGCTATTGTAGAAACATTTATAAACACTTCTTGGGAATACCCACAGATCAGCAAGTAATGGAATAACTGATTTAAAAATAATGAAAAGGTGATGTTATATGTAATGTTTAGTGACAAATCCAAAAATATCTTTAAGAGATGTAAAAAACATGAAAACACAGCTTTATTACTCAGAGCTTGAAAATCTAGCAGCAAAACAAACTATTTGCATATAATGTAGTGCAATGAGCATTTGTTCATAAAAGACTCCCCAAGTCGTGAAACTTGATACATAAATCAGAATAGAATCCATTAGGATAAATGATTTAAAGATGTCCAGAATAGCTTATCAAGAACTGCCAGATATTCTGACCTGCATCACTGAATCATAAACAAGCTTATGCAAAACTGTGTTCTGGATAACTCACTCTTATGGCTCCCCAATAACAAGCTCGGATAAGGCAGACCAAACCTAAGAGATAAGCAATTGCCCAAGAAACATAGGTTGCACGAAATCGCCTTGCAAAATCTTGGGTGCCAACCTAAAATAAAAAGCAATACAAAAACAAAAGGTCAGAAACTTTAAGCAAATATCTGCTTACAGATCTTGTGTTGGCTTTCATGTGATTTTTATGAAATATATCCCTGAGGCCACAAAATTTCTATAAAATACGAGTTGGTGTATTTGTTGACTATCACTGACAGAGTAAAATTTAATAAGACAACGCTACTAGTTATATTAACTATAAATTTTATGAAGTAAACAAAAAAGCCCACTAAAACATGTTATCTCTAAAAGGAATTTAATCCAAATAATTCCTTAGTATTGTGTGACACAATAGGAACATTGCTAATAATATGGGACCAGGAGGAACAAAGGAGCATGGAAAGCAAATGGCAGCAAAACAGATCAGTCCGTTCCTCTTCTCCTGGGATAATCCCCAGGCCAACTGCTTAGCTTCAGTCTCCTCTTAAAAACAAAGTCATCCCCATATTGATAATAAATCTCTGCTTGACTTGAATAAAGAGAAGGATGGTTTTTCAGACCTCCATAGCTGATCGAGCATTGCTTCAGATTCGGCCATGGCAAAATTGGTTCTGGCACTAAATAAAAACAAACGGGCTTTTGTTAAATGGATGGTAAAGTCCCCGATGTCAAGGGCCTTCAGAGGGGTCCTAAGACACCATTTCACCTGGATGGGCAAGCTCCATTAAAACCAGGTCCAGGGATTGGGCTTCAGATTGCCCATAGTCCTTCAGAAGCTTTTGGGCCTGGTATGCCAGGGAGGCAGGCAGGGATCATCAAAGGTTGTCCCAGGCCTCACCATTTACCACTGATGAAGTTAATAGAAAAAATTCTAACAGTGAGTAGAGTAATTAATACTCACAGTTAATCCCACTCCAATGAAAATACATATCATTCCAATGGTAACATATGCACAGCAGCGTCTTCGTGGAAGTGCACTACCCACTGAAGAACTGCAAATTCATGGCAGCAAAAGAGAACATAAGTATTTCCACGAAGATTCTCCATTTCATCTTTATGAGTACTTACCTACGGCTTTAGTAACAGATATACTTCTATTTACTTATGCAACTCGAGAGACAAGAAAATGCATAAAAACATCATTTTTAATGAGTGACATTAATCATAATCATAAATGGTGAATTTGTGATATATTATTATGGCTTTAAAAAAAGGTCAAGCCTTGGAAATTGACAATATCCAAAAAAACCATTGTGGTCAATAATGATCTTCCAAGATAAAAATCTATTTCCAAAAAAGTTTATTCCAGAATGGAAAATAAGTGCTATCTTACAAATAGCATTTGATTTTTTTTCTAAAAAACAGAAGTCATCTTTATTTCATGTCAACATTAAAATTAAAATACTAAATCAATATAGCTGAGATTTCCATATATCCTATGCTTTTTAATTATCAATTCTCCAGTCCTGGAACCAGTCTTTATGTTTATCAATACCCCCATCACTTTAATGTGTTTTAGGTATCATATGTTCCTTTTATGTATATCAAAACTCATACTGAACAATGAGTTCTGGTTGCAGAAGAGGATTTATTTTTCACACCTGTCTATAAGTCTTTGTCCACAAATTAAACAATAACAAACACAATGCTATTGGCTTTTTTACAGTTATAACAGTAATATGCTTACTGTAGAAAATTTGGAAAATAGAGTAAAGAATAAAAAGCAAAAGGAAAATTACCTATAATCCCACCACCATAAATAGTCACTCAATATTTTGGCATATTTTCCTCCAACCAATTTTTGTAATTTACCAATATAGCATAAGCATTTTCCTATGTCATTAAGTATTCTCAAACTGGAATTCTGATGGATGAATGTAACGTAATTTAACCAATTCTCTACTATTGGACACAATGTTTTCGTTATTATAAATAATGCCAGCTAAACATCATTTAAAAGCATTGTGCTTATTTTTCATTGTTTTCTTTTTTTTTTAAAGGGAGTGTCAGCCTTTGGGCCTAAGGAGAGGAGTCAGCGGGATCTGTAGTCACCACCAACAGAAACCAGCTGTGGTTACTTAAGCAGGAAAGGAACTTTTTTTTTTTTTTTTGCCGGGAGAGATTCGCCCTGAGCGAATCCATTGCCAATCTTCCTCTCTTTGTTCTTCCAGTACATAGTTGTATATTCTAGTTGTAGGTCCTTCTAGTTCTTCTATGTGAGCCGCCATCACAGCATGGCTGCTGATGGACAAGTGGTGTGGTTCCGCAACCGGGAAATGAACCTGAGCCACTGAAGCGGAACATGCCAAACTTTAACCACTAGGCCTTCAGGGCCAGCTCTTCACTGTTTTCTTAAGATACATTTTTAGAATTAGGATTACAAAGTTAAAGGGATTAAATTTTTTGAAATCTTTTAATATATACTGCAAGAAGCCTATGAGAAATCCATAAAAGCATATACTGTTATCACATTTCTCAATTGAAATTCCAAATCCAATAGTTTTTAGTCCTCTCCACTTCTAATTTTCAAAATTTTCAAATGATACAAGTATAGCAGAGATCAAACTGCCAAATTACTGCTTTTTTCCTCTTCCTACACATACACATATTAACACATATCATATATCAGGTACTGTGTTAGTGAATGATATAACGAAATATCTGATTTGCCTTTGTATGGCCAGTGTCAACATCATGCCTAGCACACAGTAGTGGCTCAAGGAATGTCTGGTGAATAAATGAAATACAGAAACGCATCACTTACTAGGCATAATCTAGAAATGTGCTATTCCAAAGACATTCATTTTGCAAAACAGAAAAATGATCTTCTTTAAGTCCCAAATCTTTTTAAAAATTGATGAATATTAGTGGAAATATATATCAAACTGTTCTTGAATAGTTAAGTGAAACACAAATATCTGGATGACCTGGGGTCATCCTTAATTGCTGTAGTGTGCAGCTTGCTATCTGGAGTGACTAGGGCACACAAGATTCATTGCCCCTTCATGTGATATTTAGCCTTAGACTAGTTTTAGTTTTAATTCTTATATGTGCATTTGGTTGTTTTCCCTGCCTTAAACCTCACAGCTGGCTGTCATTTCTCATTTACCTGTGTATCTGCCTCTGGCAGTCTAATCTACCATGGATTAAAAGCCAACTAAGCTTATTAGAATTATGTATTGAAGAAATCAAAAGGTTCTAAGTGAATATCGGAACAGCTTTTCTGTAAGCCAAAAGAATACATTAGAGTATATTAATTTCAGTGCATGAATTCTGCTTAGAAAACCCATGCCCATTTTTCATCACTCAACTTAAACAGTCACTACTTCTGGGAAGTCTTTCCAGAAAAGAAATAACCTACTGCTACCCTACAACCCAAGCACCATCTCATCCCAGGGATAAGGCAATGACCAACAAGCACTTACTGCATGGATAATAAAATCTCGTATACATTTAATACATATGTGTTCTGTATGCAATATGTAGTTTTTTGCCTTTTGCATTAAAACTTTATAGGTCTGTGTTAAACTGTATGCTTCTGTGACTTGCCTTTTTTTTCTCAATACTCAACAAGAGACTCTTCCATATTCATATGTGGAGATCTAGTTCATTCATTTTCATGACTGTCCTTAGCTTACTGATTGACAGATGATACTTAAATACTATGGATACTATTCCAGGTAACTATATTTACTGCATATATCTTCTTATATCCTGTGTTTTTTAAAATTTATTTTTAATAACATTTTGATGATGATTTTTTACTAACAAAATCAATGTAATGTAAGATAATTCTATTATAGTTAAACTTGTCAATCTTTTTCTTTAAGGTTTGTGCTTTTTTTTTTTCCCCTTGGTCTAGGAAATTCTTTCCTACTTCTGTTGTAAAAGTATTTTTCTGTCTTTTCTTCTAAAAGTAATAAAATTTTGCTTTTTATATTTATGTCTTGATCAATAAGACCACAGTCTTTATAATTATACATTTTTATTTTACAAATATTGAAGTTATATTATTTGGTGCACACAAGTTCAGAATTTATGTTTCTGATGAAGTGACCATAAAAATAATTCTTCTTACCCTAAAGAGTATGAGGTAGAGTACATACTAAAATGCTATAATGGATAAATCCAGAATACAGTAGCTGAAAAAGAAGTTTAGTTCTCTTGCATATAAGATTTTGAAGGTAAATGTACAGCCTGGGGTTGGTAGACAGCTCTGCCCCATGATTGCCATTGATTCAACATGAGTAATAAGTGTCTTGCTGCAATTGCCTTCTCCAGCCAGTTGGAAGAGGGGAGAGAAAATCAAGACAGGCAGGTTTGTCTTCAATGAGAGTGTCAGGAAGCTATCCTCTTCTCTTGTGTTCACATTCCGCTGGCCCTAACTTAAACACATGGTCACAGCTATCTGCGGGAGAGGCTGGGATGCAGTCTCCCGCTGGGTGGCCAGTGAGGCGCTGGGAGTTCCTCTACCAAACGGAAGAAGAGAACAGCAGTCTGTGCTATTTTAACTCATATTAATGTTACTGTTTTAATGTGGCATAGTGTTTTCCTGCTATATCTTTCCTTTTGGTTAGGGTTTCAGGATTTTATCTTTTTTCCATCCTTTTACTTTCATTCTATGTTCTCTGATTTCATGTGTTTCTTCTTCAAACTGCATATAGACGTACTTCAATCTGACAAGTTTAGTCTATATATATATTCTGACAACTGAAGTATATGCATTATTTCTGCTATCTTATTTTGGCTTTCTATTGTTTCTGAATTTCCTATGCTTTTTTATCTTCTCTTCTGGACTTCTTTTGGATTGACTATGATTCTTTTATTTCATTTTCCACCTACTATTTAGAAAGTTTTACAATTTATTTCTATTTATTTAGCAGTTACACTTAAATTTTTCACATACATACCTTTTAAAAACTAAAATCATTTAGTAAATCTACCGTCCCAATAAACACAAGGATCTTAGAAAGCTTTGACTCAAACATTCTACTCCCATCTTACATGTTCTTGTTCTCCAACATTTCAGTTCTACTGTATTTTTGTTTCTCCAAATTCGTTAGCATTAATATTATTGTTACTGTTGTTTCTGCTATTTTATACAAGGTTCCTGATGAATGCTTACAATTTCTTGGTTCACCTTTTCTTCTTTTGCATTGCAAAAATTTCTTGTAGGGTGTTTTTCCATTTTCCGTAAATTCATCTTTTAGCAGTTTCCTTAGTGAAGGTCTCAAGGTGGTAAACACTCTTGTTTTTTTTTGTGGTTGTTATTGTTTGTTGGTTGGTTGGTTCTGGCATTTGAAAATATCTTTATTTTACCTTCATTATTCTATTATAGTTTACATAGGTCTATAATACCAGTTTGACAGTTAATTTCTCTTAGTACCTTGAAGTATTTTTAAACTTGTTTTTTGGCTACCATTGTTGCTGTTGAGATGTTTCCTGACAGAACTGTTATCTTTGTCTTATTGAAAAGCTATAATTTCTCTCTCTGCTTTTAATATCTCATGTTTATCTTAGGTTTTCTGCAATTTCACTATAAAGCATTTGTTTATTTTGCATGGATTTCATTGTTCTTTTTGAATCTAAACATTTATATCTTTCATAGATCTAAAAACCCTTAGGATTATCTCTTCAAAATATCCCATCCTCTATTTTTTTCTTCTAGATTAGATATATATTAGATGTTCTCATATATATTTCTCTTTTTTTTTTTTTTTCTGAGGAAGACCGGCTCTGAGCTAACATCTATTGCCAATCCTCCTCCTTTTTTCCCCCAAAGCCCCAGTAGATAGTTGTATGTCATAGTTGCATATCCTTCTAGTTGCTGTATGTGGGACGTGGCCTCAGCATGGCCGGAGAAGTGGTGCGTCGGTGTGCACACAGGATCCGAACCCGGGCCGCCAGTAGCAGAGCGCGCGCACTTAACCGCTAAGCCACAGGGCCGGCCCATATATTTCTCTTTATACTACTTTCATCTGTGTCTCTCTGA